GATAATTATATTTTAATTATACTCAGTGTTGATAATTATATTTTAATTATACTCAGTGTTGATAATTATACTTTCTGTTTTTTCCTAATGTTGCTCATTAAAAACGTTTGCCATAATTCTAATACACTGAATGTTCAAGGGTCCGGGGTTCGAGACGTAACGCCACACCGTAAAGCTGTACTCAAAAGTTTTATATCACCGTAGAATAACACGGTGTTGCTTCAAACGAGACCTGATGAATAATGTGACGTTTAAAGGACTGCGTGGAGGGATGTATGTATAAAAACACAAACACTCCCACTCTCCAAATAGGAGAAGAAACAGCGAATGTAATCGGTTTATTGATTTGAGAAACTGTTCATTAAAATCTCTTCCCGTCAAAGTTTGAATGTTTTTCAATACTGAAACACATACTTTGACATTACGGAATCTTTAGATCGATAACTTCACGTTTTGCAATGTCTTCATTCGACCATTACTGAGTTAGTGTGTTCGATCACAAGCTAAATGAACCTTCGCATTTACTGTAACTTAATGGCGTATTTACACCACGTGCAACATAACCCACTATATATATATATAAACTATTAGCATCATATGTTTTTCACTGATTGCAATACTTTGATAATGGAAAATAACATCTTCAAAGAAAAGGAGCTTGCGTGTGTCTATACATAATGGGTTTCGGTAGAGATTTTATCATGTCAGGAGCTGGATTCTGATGTTGGAGCCTCAAGAATTTCCCACAACTCAAGCTTACGAGCAGACTCGTTAAGAAAAACAAAAGATTTTTTGTCTGAGAACTCTCGAACCAGATCACAGGAGTTTTCCCGGAGATGTTAACCTTTAAATGGATGTTTAACAATTTTGCATCTGTGTGACACATCATTTGTAAAAACTGTTTTGCATCATTCATTAGTAGGAACAGTTCACCTCTCTACACTTCTAGAACTGTAAGGTTTTTGTCACCAAATAAAAGAATTACATTCGAGATATCTTAATTCTCACCAGAGGTCGCCTACGGCACTTTCCTTGAAAAACTAGAGCTCCGCTTTAATGGTACATGCTTTCCCAATTTGAATAAATGCGTTTTCAAACATGTTAAATAGGGTTCAATATCTTGTAGGGTACTTATATAGGTACCAAAAGCGGCTGATTGGTTGTTTGTTGTTAAGTACCATGCTACACAAGGGGTTATGTGTGCTCTATCTACCGCGGGTATCAAAACTAAATTTGTTAGGTAATAAGCCCTCACACTTACTGCTGAGCCACCGGGAACCGGTAAGCTAACGGATTTACAATGCTAAAATTCGAGGCTCTATTTACGGCGGTTGACACAGTAGTTAGCTCAACGTGGCTTTGTGCTAAAAGGGAAATAATCAAACTTAAATAATATCATCTTGAAATTGGTTTTTATTTTGAGAAACAACGCGTACGAAGCTTTGTTCTGGATCTCGCTTTCTTGGAGGCTTTCCTGAGTAGAAGTAAAAGAACTGATTTCCAAAATTAGGGGCATCTCTCACCTGAAATTGGATACCCCTAGCTTTAAGAAAGCTGTTATCATCTTTTGTAGCAAAATCTGCACGACTCAAAGTTATCTCTGTGGGTGGCACGTTTCCATTTGAGAGAATTCTTAGGGAAAAGAAAATACGCTTGTGTAATCCAGATTCCATTAACCGGAACTATATCTTGGTGCTTACGTAATCCAGATTCCATTAACCGGAACTATATCTTGGTGCTTACGTAATCCAGATTCCATTAACCGGAACTATATCTTGGTGCTTACGTAATCCAGATTCCAATAACCGGAACTATATCTTGGTGCTTACGTAATCCAGATTCCAATAACTAGAACTATATCTTGGTGCTTGTGTAATCCAGATTTCAGTAAAAAAAAACTATACCTTGGTGCTTGCGTAATCCAGATTACAGTAACTGAAACTATAACTTTGTGCATGTGCGAGGCGTCTAGTCACGAACATTGTAAGACATACGAGTAAATACACATACAAAGATAAGTGTTATATGTTATAGGTAAATATGTAACACAAGCGACCTGGTAGCAATAGATAAACATTACTTATGCATTTGTATCTATGGAAAACCTATTAAAAGCTATCTGACGCCATCCCTAATAGTGAACTACTGACCACAGAGAAGACAGCCGCTCAGAAGCACCCTATTTTCCGCTATCACCGTTAAAAGTGCTGGGGATACTTTGTATTATCGCAAAGAGTCGAACTGGGCTCACCAGGTCCGAAATCCAGAGCTAAAGCCAACCGACGTCCGCATGGACAAAAAGGAAAGATTATCAGCCCTATACGACCAGTGACCATTGGATTGGACAGCGGTGATATGGGTTTGAGACAATTATTGACCTATACATAAAGTTAGAACTGACGTGACCTATGCAAAGACATAACAACCTATAAGTATCACATATTAACTTACTTTTAACTTGGTCTTTGTAAATGTTGATATGTATTAACAACTAATTCAAAATATTTAAATATTCGAAAGCTTTATCCAGTTTGCCCCCTTTTGACCAACACAACAACTTAGCCCAAATTCTTGTAATTTACATGAAAAACAGGCTTACAGAAGCCACATAGTTTGATACTTTATGGGACGAAAACACTATATATTTACTCTAAGTAGCAATTTTCCATATCTTCACTGCTGGTTTGTGTCGTCACTGCTAGTTTGGACCTCAGTTTGTGACGTCACCGCCAGTTTGAACCTCAGTTTGTGACATCACAGCGAGTTTGACTTTTAGTTTGTGTCGTCACTGCTAGTTTGGACCTCAGTTTGTGACGTCACCGCCAGTTTGAACCTCAGTTTGTGACATCACAGCGAGTTTGACTTTTAGTTTGTGTCGTCACTGCTAGTTTGACCCTCTGTTTGTGTCGCCACAGCCAGTTTGAAACTCAGTTTGTGACGTCACAGCCAGTTTGAGCCTCTATTTGTGTCGTCACAGCCAGTTTGGACCTCAGTTTGTGACATCACACCCAGTTTGTGTCGTCACTGCTAGTTTCAGTTGGATTTGTTTGTTCGTTTGTAATTAAACACAAAGCTACACAATGGCCTATCTGTGCTCTGCCCACCACGGGTATCGAAACTCAGATTCTAGCGTTGTAAGCCCGCAGACATACCGCTGTACCACTGGGGGGCGTTTCAAGTGGAAGAAGGCGGCCTAGGTCTTCCTTTAGTTTAAATAGTTTCAAGACCTGTACTTCGTTTGTAAAACAGCTATACATTTAATAATTTTATCAGAAATACGTTTACAAAATTGAAACTCTGTGAATGAATTGGGTTATTTCAAGTTTTTCAGGTAGAAAAACTCTTGTTTCGTTACATTTTAAAATTCATATTTGTTTTCATTAATTTGCTTGTGATATAGCACCACGGCGGCATTTCTCTGATAAAGCTAAGTTCTCACAACTCTACAGTTGCTAAGCATAATTGTCTGGACCTCCGCCATTGACTAAAACGTGATGCAGTACAGTTACCAAGTGACATCATCGTAAACACAGCATCGAAACAGTTGCTAGGCAACAATATCGTTTACTTACATATCTTTGACACATCATGAGAATCTGGAAAATATAAAAGCTAGAAACTGGAAAAAGTACACAATACTGAACTGCATTTTGTTCATGCACCGGAGCCCCTCCAATGGCACAGCGGTATGTCTGCGGATTTACAACACTAGAATCCGGGGTTCGATACCCGTGGAAATAAAACGTAATCCGAATTGATCAATATTTACTTTTTTTGAAGTACCTTGCAAAAAACTTTTACCAAATATTCGGAGGATTTAGTACATCATATAACATTTTCCTAAAGGATAAGACGAAGAAAAAAAACGTTATTTGAAGGTTTAGATTCAGTATCGCTCACAAGTCCAAACATATGGTTTGGAATGATTCGTTTTTTTTATCTTACTTATTACTTTCTATTCTCTTTGGAGACTACTTCTCAAAGTGAAACATTTTTTGTTTGCTTGCTGTTAAGCGCAAAGCTACACACAAAGGGCTATCTGTGCTGTGCCCACCACGAGTATTGAAACCCAGTTTTTAGTGGTAAAAGCTTTCAGACTTACCGCTGAGCCAATGGGGCTTTTTTTTTTTTAAATCAGACTATACTCTTTCTTAATTTATATTGTTAAGATAAAACACTTGAGTAAAATTTTACCACATCACAAGAAATGCATCACAGCAAAGCATGGGATGAAAGTTGTAAGATTGGCGTATCTTAAAAGCAACAGACTAAAAGCTCTTAAGGTTTTAAAACATAGACGAAATGGGTTATTCTATTGTGTAACTTACGCCATAAAGGCAGTCTCTAAGATAACAGTTCTTCAGCGGTACGTTGTTTCAGCAATGTTATTGAACGAAAGGTTTGGAAGTTTCACCTTGTTCTTATTCTTGTCACTTATAAGTAAGAAAACAAATTTACAGTTTTTTTCTTTTTTTTTTGGTTCATGTTTAGTTTTTCATGTAACGGAAACTGTGACTTATACATATGTTAAACTATTATAAAGAAATTTGTGTTTGAATTTCGCGCAAAGATACACGAGGGCTATCTGGGCTAACCGTCCCTAATTTAGCAGTGTCAGACTAGAGGGAAGGCAGTTAGACAACACCACCCACCGCCAATTTTTGGGCTACTCTTTTTCCAACGAAGAGTTGGATTGATCGTCACATTATAACACCCCTACAGCTGAAAGCGCGAGGATGTTCGGTGACGGGGATTCGAACCCGCGACCCGTAAATTGCAATTCGAGCGCCCTAACCCACTAGGCCATGCCAAGCCGTTATGAAGAAGAGTAGTTATCGTGGTTCGGGATAGAGCCTCGGACCTCTCGAATGCGAAGCGACTTCTCTACGAATTGATCTTGTTTGTTATAGATTTCGCGCAAAGCTACACGAGGGCTATCTGCGCTAGCCGTCCCTAATTGAGTAGTGTAAGACTAGAGGGAAGGCAGATAGTCATCACCTCCCACCGCCAACTCTTGGGCTACTTTTTAATCAACGAATAGTGGGATTGACCGTCACTATATAACGCTCCCACGGCTGAAAGGGCGAGCATGTTTGATGTGACGGGGATTCGAACCCACGACCCACAGATTACGAGTCGAGCACCCTGACCACCTGGCCATGCCGGGCCTCTACGAATTGAACTATAATGTCAATCCGTTAGATGATATTAATGAATATTTTATTATTCTTTTCTAACAACTCAAACCACATTCTTCGTCTCTCACAAAGATCCTCAAGTTCAGAAAATAATATAATCTCCGATTACGTTATCGCGCGTTGGCATGGCAACCAAATTTGGAAAAACGTACTTGATCAAATTCGGAAAACTGTTGAGCCATGTGTAACAAGATTACTTGCACTTACAACGAATGTCATCAGTGTGGAAAGGTCATAGGTTACAACTGAACATCAAAACTTGATAAAAATATTGGGGGCTATATATATATATCACATTTCCAATAGCAACAGTGAAGAGATTTTAAGTAGCTTTGAAAAAGTTCCTCAGACAATCGTCTAACTAAGTGCCAAGTTTCATGGATTTATTGTTAAGACCCAATCGTAAGATGCATTGGAAACCTTCGAAATGAGTGCTGTACTTTTATTTATATTGACCAGTGACCTTTTCAGATAAAAGCTGCCGTATCTCAGCTCGTCATCAAATTTGAGAATGTCTACATGACTTTCGCAATCCTTGGAACGTAAGGATCTTTTAGAAAATATGTATAAGATCTTACGTTTCGGGCTACTTGAGCTGAAAATCCAGCGCCCTTTGACGACTTGAGAATACCCAATATTTAGATATTCTAAACTAATATCTCAGGAGTTACATTGCGCGTAAATTTCGTTCGATCTTCTTCGTCTTCTTCGACGATAATATCGACCAAATAATCTTCTTATGCAACCAGATTATCTTCTTAGCGTCCTACTCTTCTCGCTTTTATTGTTGTTTCAGGCAACAAATTCTATTTTCAGTTTCTTATTCTAATATTAATATCATTACTTCAGACTAATTCGAATAATAAGGCCAATCCCTTTCCAATGGGGATCCGTGCGTTTGGACTGTAATTTACTTAATATGAATAAGGTGATTGGTTGTCTGTTTGTTTGTTTGTTTTGGAATTTCGCG